AATCCCCTTCAGTGACATTAAGCCCTCGCAGTGTGTTTTTTTTATAATGAGGAGAGGACGGGGGAGGAGGTGGAGGGAGGGGCGACCGATGGGCCGGGAACCTCGATTTGGCTGCGAATCATTGACTAAATGAATGAATGTACAGTATACATAAAGTATACATAAAAATTCACTAGAAATTAACACTTTATTGGCTTGAAATTTATATTTTATTTTTATATATACTATTAAATATATTTATATTATATATAAATATGTATAAATAGGTTTTAAATATTTGAAAAATATTTGTAATTTAGGTAATTACTTTTATCGCGATTGCAAAAATATTTTATTATAAAAATGATGTTTGTACTCCTGACTGAGAAACAGCCGTACTCTGTGAGGTGACGACCGTTTGGATGTTGAACATCTACCGTCACTCTTCTCTCCACCCACGTATCCAGGTTCTGATAATTACTTCCCAGCAGGCCTTGTGCCTCGTGGTCCAGTGGAGATGTAGATTGTTGCAGCTCCGGCGTCCTTTATTACCTCAGTTATGGTTCTAAACAAACGGTTTCCATCAGCGTGTTCACTGGAGGAGCGGAGTGGAGACTCGTCATCATCCACCTCCCACTTTCAATCTCTGCCTAATCCATTTCTATAACCCATGGGCTCCTTCATGGACAGAAATGATCCGTCTCCATGGCGACCGGCGCTGGGTGAAAACAGGATCTGGTCCCTCCTCCGTAGACAGCACATCCCCTCGCTCCATTTAATGACGGCTGGCTGGTTTAAGGGTCGATGTAGCCACAAACCTCAGCTGCTGGACGGGCGCCTCACGCGGCTAATTGTTGGGCATAAAACAGTTTTATCATCCTGGAAATCTGTGGCTCCGCTGGGGGAACGGAATCGTTTATATTTACTGTAGCATCAGCATCGGTTCCACCGAGAAGTGGAACAAAGAGAGGAGGCAACAGTGAGAACTGTGATGTTGCTGCAGGAGATCTGGAAGAAATGTGTTAAAAAATATGTGCTGACACAGATTAGAGTTTGAAAAGTGTGAGCATCGAACTAATAACTTTGTTTTCTGCAAAACTCGGGAATTAATTCAAAGTAGTTTTTTTTTTTTTCACCCTTTTGTTTTAGGAGTACTGCAGTATGAACAGAACTGAGATAATACTGCGTTTGGTTTTCATAGACGTCATACAAAAATGGTTCAGTATTTTTAGGCTGATTCACCGCCGCCCGTTAGGTTTACTGCATTTAAGAAGTACTTCAGTGAACACAGAAGTAAACTTAAAAAAGGCAAATAATATTAATATTAATTATTATTATTATTATTATTTATTATTATAAAAACTGCAGTAATCTTTATTTAAATTAAAACAAGGCATCTTCCTTAACCCTCATAAATATTACTATATTTTGTGTGTGTGTGAATGAACGTGTATATATTTGTATGCATGTATATATGTAAATATACAGTATATCATTATATATGTATTTATACATATATTACATATTAAATGTAGATATATTGTATGCACATATGTATGTGTATACAATATATGAATGGATGTTTGTATGCATGTAAGTATACAGTAAATATGTATATATATAAAAATGCACATATATGTATATATTTACAATTATTATATTTATAGTTAGGTATATATGCGCGCTTGTACTTTTGTGTATATTCGTATGGTAATAGGTGTTTCAACCCAACCCCCCCCCCGCCCCCCGTCCCCGTCCGTCCCCCGTCCGTCCCCCATCTGTGGCCGTTTTCTAAGTGCAGACAGTTCAGGGTGTTGACAGTGAGTCTGTGATAATTCACTGTGGGAGTGGACCTGCTGTCAGAACAGCTTTGGTCCTGCTGCTCTGACTCTGTGCCATCGACACTCCACGGTCAGAGTGTGTGAGGTGACGGTGTGATTGGTGGACGTCAGCACTTCAAGATGATTGGTCCTGACCTCACCCCTCTGTGTCTGTTGTCCTCACCCACATATTTGTGTCCTTCTTCTCTCTGACGTGCACAAACA